TTCTTTTAATATTTTATAATTAGATAATTTTTTCTTGAACTTCAATGTTAGCTAATTATCACCTGGACTTCTAAAAATAGCAAATTTCCACCATGGCGTTAGATTTTAAATTTTTTCATCCAATCTATCCATCTCAATCATTCGAAGAGCATGATAACTGTATGAAGGCAAATTGGTTGGATGAAAAATTTTAAATCTAAAGTCAGGAGAAATTGGTTATTTATAAAAGTTCAGGAGGTAAATGACTAAAGTTAAAATACAGGTGAAATTGATTATTATAAAAGTTTATGGAGTAATTAACTAAAATTAAATTTCAAGAGAAAATTAGCAGCTCTGTACATATTTGGAGGACAAATCGATAAATATCTCTATTATAAATAATTAAAATTCATCTAATAATAGTTTCTAAGATATTTAGATTTCATCATTACACTATAATGTGGTATTACTGAAGAATATCTAAGCAAACATATTCTCTATTGATGTGACAAGCCGCTCCAAATTTTATGGCTACAAATTCTACATACTTTAGCCACATATATAGAATCTTTGCAAGGTCCATGTTCTAATATTTTCAGCCATTTCTTAATGCAAACTATAATTAATGACATGTGCCGTTACAGGTTGAATAAAAAAATATTGCCTTTTGTGTTATGATTGGCAAGAGTATACTGATTAGACGTGTGCATTGATATTATTTGTTGCAAAAGGATTAATACGAAGCTCCCAACTGTTCCCGAAATTGATATCAGGAGAATTGCATATAATTATGGTCTATTCGACGTCGGTGATCATGTACAAAATATGTAATTTACAAATGGACAAAAAAGGTGCAAAATATCTCCCACTCGTTTTCAGATGTAAAGTAAAGACTAGACCATTATAGACACTAGCTTGAGTTTGGATATACAATACATCACATGTCATTATACAAATAGTGAAATATGTATGTTAAAAAATTAATAACTTAAAAAATAAAAAATTCCACCACTTTTATAAAAACACGTGATATACTATCCGTGTTCTCGTCACAATAAAAAAAATTCTCCTTGAGTTTGAACTAATCATCTCGTTAATTTAATGAGAGATTAACTCGCACAAAATTACAACATTTTGAGTGCTCACTATCATTTTTATCCATTTTTTATTTTTGTTTGTTGATGTAAAAAGCTCATCATGTACAAAACTCTAGAATAAACTCGCACGAAATGCCTTTGCTTGTTTGGTTACATCATACATTTTATGTTTGGAGTAATTCTAACAAAAAACGTTCGAGTTTATAACTTGTAAATGTTCATATCTTTACCACTTAATGTTCGTTTGAAAGTGATTTTAAAATGATTGGAATCGAAACGTTTTTAAGTTTCAAAAGCATTTGAAGTGTTTTCTACAAAAAACACATTATTACAAACAAAAAAACATCAGTTATATATTTTTTCCAGTAAGCACTTTAAGTAATTTTCTAAAATTACTTACATTTTTATTATGAATTGATTCTAGAACATTTTTACTAAAAATACTTTTAGTCATTTTAAAAACATTTTCGATGTCTTTGTGTTTCCTTGGTGCTATATAGATCATCAACATGTCGGATTCATAATTAAAGCATCCCTATAGTTTAATATTTACTTATTTTCTAAACAAGAAGAGCACCAAAAGAAAGGGGCTGGCTATATAGTAGTGGGGCCCATTGTGCCTCACCTACCCCACAAGGATCCAAAAACAGACCATGATTTTCTTGGGCCATCTTTCAGGCTTTAATTTAGATCCGCTAATCTCAGCTAACGCTAATGATGTTTGATGTGGTGGTGCCTCTTATTAACGTCAGTGCTCACGTTTTGTGGTTTGTACGACATCCTCTGCGTCGTCAGATCAAGAAACAAGTCAAAGGGGACGACTAGGACCTTCTCCGGACGCTATCCTCCGATCCTCCAATCCTCCAATCTAGCTTGGTTTGTTTGTTTATTTGTTTTATTTTATTTTATTTTATTTTGCTGAATTGACGGCTGATTATATGTTTGTAATTTAGCTATTAAATTGAGAAGGTGTCGGATTGACATAAAGTTAGAATCTCGAGTTTGAGTAATGCAAAGTGAATTTTCTATGGATTCTTTGTCATCGTATAATTTAATATCAATTTTCGTGCATAAGTTATAATTAGTTGTGTAAAAAATATGAGGTAGTATAGATGTAACATCCCACATTGCCCAGGGGAGTGGATCTTGTAAGCTTTATATGTATATTCCCATATCTACCTAGCACGAGGCATTTTGGGAGCTCATTGGCTTCGAGTTTCGTTGGAACTTCGAAGTTAAGCGAGTTCGCGCGAGAGCAATCCCATGATGGGTGACCAACTGGGAAGTTTTCGTCTGAGTTCCCAAAAACAAAACCGTGAGGACGTGGTCGGGATCCAAAACGGACAATATCGTGCTACAGTGGAGTCGAGCTCGGGATGTGGTGGGGGCGGGGGCCGGAATGTTATAATTTGGTATCAAAGCCAATCCTTGGCCTGAAGTGTGCCGACAAGGACGTCGGGCCCCTAAGGGGGTGGATTGTAACATCCCACATCACCCGGGGGAGTAGATCCTGTAAGCCTTATATGTATATTCTCATCCCTACCTAGCACGAGGCCTTTTGGGAGCTCACTGGCTTCAGGTTTCGTCAGAACTCTGAAGTTAAGCGAGTTCGCGAGAGAGCCATCCTATGATGGGTGACCCACATAGAAGTTTTCGTGTGAGTTCTCAGAAACAAAACCATGAGGGTGTGGTCGGGACCCAAAGCGGACAATATCATGCTACGGTGAAGTCGAGCCCGGGATGTGGTGGGGGCTCATGCTGGGATGTTATAATAGAGTTTATGGGGAGAATCTCACTTTTGAAATTCTCTTTTACATTTATCTCTGAATTTTATTAAAATAATTTAATAATTACTTTTGTTGTTTATTAAGTAATCTCCGAACATGCTGGCTCGTGCTGGGATGTTATAATAGAGTTTATGGGGAGAATCTTACTTTTGAAATTCTCTTTTACATTTATCTCTGAATTTTATTAAAATTATTTTATAATTACTTTTGTTGTTTATTAAGTAATCTTCGAACATGCTGTAATTTGTCATTAAAAATTTGAAATCTAATTCACTATTCCAAATCTTAGAGTTCGATCCTTATAAAACTAAGAATTGAATCATTTGGAATGCAAATTTACTCATCACCTTAATTCGGTGGTGGCTGTCTGTTTGGGCCCAAAATAATAGTTTGGGCCGAGTATAGAATCATTCTCGGCCCAGAAGGCCTTGCGACAAGAATACCATGGATCGTTTAGTACGTGGGCCTCCAAACCTAGGTCGGCTAGGTCATAACGCAAGAAGTCGAGTCCTAGTGCAATGAGGAGTCTCGGTAGGACCCGGAAGCGAATCCGGCTCGGTTAAGGACTAGGTTCACAATCCTAGTGAAAGTAGGACTGGTCGAGTTGGTGCTGATCAGGAGAAGAAGACCTAGTCCGAGTAGGTTTTTAACTCGACCTTGGGGGGAGCCGTTGCTATAAATAGAAGAGGCTGCGCATCATTCAATCCCCCTGCAAATCAATACAAAACTGCCCTGCGCAAACTCAACAACTTGAGATTTTTTCTTTCTTTTTCGCTGACACATCTTCCGTTGGCATCAACAGCACTGTGAAAGCAACCGGTGATATCTTAAGTCGGCATAGATAGCTCTGTCACCGTAGAATCAGTCGACCTCGCAGTATCTTCCATTGGTATCAACAGCACTGCGGCGAGAACGGTTGATTACCTATCTAAGTCTCGGTCAAGGAGGATTTCTGGATCCTTATTGATTGAGGTCATCTCATTAGCCTTCTCGGCGAAGTGAGGTGTTACGGTATATCGAACTCGGCGCTTTGCTTGCCGAGTTATTTTATGATTGGATATTCCCAAGTGGGATTTAGAGTTCGGCATTTGGACGGCCGAACCACATTCACCATTAAAACTTATATTTGCTTTGAGTATTTGTGCCCTTACACTCTGGTGTCGATTCGGCGTGAGTTTACTCTGACGAATAACATCACTGTGACTGAATCCGACGACGACGACTCGTGAACTTCGTAAGAATAGTAACCTTGTTTTCAGGTTCGAGAGCCCAAGAGGCCGAGACGTGTTCCTTTCTCGGCCGCAATCGCAAGACGCATAAGTCAGCCGCGCACCCAACGCAACATCAACAAAATTTACTCCTCGGCTGAGCTCGGCCGACGAGTTGGCACGCCCCGCATTCACCGAATGACGTAGTTAGCTTATAGATTACTCGGCATGCGCGCCACGTAGGCTTGGTAGTTTCTAGGGTCAACACTGTCACCACTATTCTAATAGATAAGTAAACATGCAACTAAAAGAAATCTCACTTGCCCTTGCTCCACTCCCGACTGCTGTCTCCTCCAACTGCTGTTTTGAGAGCAGCGTCATGTTTCCCGACGTTTTTCGTCGTTTCCTTGGTGTTTATAACCAATTGGTCCTCTCTTGCCTTTTTCCTTACTTTATTCTTGTTGGAGAATTAGTTGATTATTCTTGTTATTTTATTGAAAACTTTAACAAAAAACTTCTGATAGTGTTCACTTTGAGTTTTAACGATAAAGACAAAATAAAGGGTAAGGTGAATAGTAGCATAATTGATTTTTAGTGTAAAAATATAGTTTTTCGTTAAAATAAACAGTACCGAAAACTTTTTATTAAAATTCTTTATTTTAAAATAAGTATAATCAAGATGCAGTCTCTTTAGTAGCGACGGTCGTACTCCCAACGAGCAATTGCTATTTCTGAATAAACGGTCTTGAGACTTGCCGAAAGGGCTTTTTTGTTAATGTGGCACCTGGTGGGCCTTCATGGGCCGACTTAGGCCCGTTTAATGTAGCAGGCTTTATCTAAATAAAAACGGTTTATTGCATGTGGGCCTAGTTTAAAGTTACCGAATCGGCGCCGTCCAAACAGGCCCAATAGCAATCGCGTCCAATGCCGAGACGGAGCTTAGTTAGACGTGATGGTAATCACATACACCAGATCAAAAGAGCCTGCAAATCGCGAGCTTCTGGTTTCAGCGAATTTACATATTTAGGGTTCTTCTCATTTGAAATTCGGACTGCTACAATGTCAGATTTCGAAGGCGGCAGCAAGGTTCTTTTCTGAATTCCCTTCTGTTAATTCGTTAATCCAATTTCCGAAGCTATGCTTTCTCGTTTGATTTGTCAATTTGTCGAATCGGATTAATTTTTTTTTTGTAATTTTTGTTTTAGAGTATGATGTTTGTGTTTCTGTTTGTTAAATCAATTAGGGCATGAAATTAGGAAGTAATTGGGCGTATTTGAGTGTGAATCCCTAGAGGAAACGATGAATTTTAAATGAATTACCTGAAAGAATGATGCATACGTTTTTTCGGATAGCGGTTTCTGTTATGTATGTTTGTGTGACGATTATCGAATGGCTGAGTGATGTTTTGATTGCCTCGGCAGAATTCTCGTGGATCAGAACGAGAGCTCGTGGAGAGATCGAGAGCGAGACCGAGGTCAAGATAGAGAAAAAGATGGTGGCCGGTATACACGGGAGTATAAGGATAGAAGTGGAAGATTTGACAGAGGGAGGAACTCGTACAATGGCTATCGCCGCAGTCGAAACGAAGATTTTGACAGGTTAAACATGTGCTTCTTATTTGTTCTATAAATTACTGATACATACTGTGGTTTGAGTCTTCCCGCACTGCGTTTTAATGAAATAAAATATCCAAGGTGTTCTCTTAACTTCAATTGAATTGTGGACTTGGTAAGTGGAAAAACAAAATTTTGACTTTTCGTTTGCTTGCATTGTATGTTTGTCTTGTAGGCATCGTGATTATGATCAAGATAGAGAAAGGAGGCATAGACATAGATCACGTTCTCGTTCTCCCTCAAGTGACAGATCTCCTTCCCGTTCTCGTTCAAAGAGGTAAGGGGAACTTCTACATAAACGTTCACTTTCATATTGTTCTTGATCATGACATATCTGATTGTATTTTTAGTCGATGAGAAATATATCTCTCTCGCTCACTTAGGTTATGCATTTGGTGTTTAGTAATGTTGTTCGGATATTATTTTCTATTTTAAAAGCTTTAGGTGTTTAAAACATAATATAGATGCTGTTAGTATTTGTCTTGAAAGCTGCATTGTTCCATTGTAATCTTGCTGAAATCTTTGTCTGCAGCAAGCGTACAAGTGGCTTTGACATGGCACCACCTGCTGGGTCAGTGCTGCCTAATGCTCCCGTTTCAGGTTTGGATCTAACTACCCGATCACCAAATTCTTGTCAAAGTATATGTAACACTTTTCATTTGAGTTTAGCTTCCTGATCTCCTGTTATTTATTTGAGCATGTTAGAAGTTATCTTTCTTATTGGTTTATTGCGGAAACTGAGAGCCATTGTTGTGTTGTTTGGTTGTTGTTGTGTTGTTGTTTGTATGTGTTTGCTTTTATGGTTTGGGTAAGAAGGCGACGTTGAGTTGGCATGACTACGTCAATTGATGTTCAAGGGAGAACCAATGGAACGATTAGCTGGACATTCTTCTCCTTCGACTGATACAGTTGCCATTTGGTAGACTTACAGATATTTCCCCACCATCCCCATTGATGGAATTTGTTTCTTACTTTACTATTTCATGGTATATCTTAGGTATGAAATATTAGCTTTATATGTAATGTAAAAGATACTTCTGGGCTTTCAGATGGATTACATTACCAGTGTAGTTGCGACATTTTTTTCTGGAAAGCTATACTACATATCCTTCTGTTATTGCTTGCTCCACTTCTGTCAATAATAATAATGCAGGACAACTGTCAGGTATTCCGCAAATGATGCCAGGAGTAGTACAAAATTCATTACCTTTTGGGGCATCGCATGTACGTTTCACCAGTATAAGCTTCTATGAAATCTCGATTTCAAATTTTCATTTGTGTTCTTTGTGAATAACTTCATGTGCTTTTGTATGTTATAGATGGCTCTTCCTTTGATGCCAGCCCAAGCCATGACTCAGCAGGTAAAATTATTATATTTGTGTTCATATATTTAAATTTACATGGTTTATTTTTCTCATAAATACATGAACGGCGTTTTCATTGGCCGATGAGCAGGATATATATCTTTCTCTTTTGCAGGCTACAAGGCATGCACGTCGGGTATATGTTGGTGGGCTTCCTCCCTTGGCTAATGAGCAGGTTATATTTCTGGTTTTTCGTTTTGGATTCTTTCCCAAGTAACAGCAAATGTTTTGAGTCTATACTTGAGATGGACAGCGAATCTAGGCTAAAGTTTGTTGCCTTTTGTGTCATCACTCCAGAATCTGGGGATTTACTATGTACATAAGGAAGCTCATAAGGCAGTTTTTTTGTAGGTTGTTACAGGGCCAACTGCACTGGGTTACAAATAAGCCAAAATTTTGATTAAATGTTTTACATTTTTTTGAAATTCTTGTTTGCCTCTTTCTTGTTCAAAGTATTTTTCTTGTATTCCTTGAAAGACTTTGATGGAATTGATCTTTTTGTCAGACAATTGCCACATTCTTTAGCCAAGTCATGGCTGCCATTGGAGGAAATTCTGTTGGTCCAGGTATGTGTAATCATAGTCTCACTTTAACCAAGTTCAGCATGCACCTTAATGTATTACATGATTCAGGATCTAGACTAGCAGTGCATTTATATTATCTCATGGGTTTTATCTGAGGGCAGTGTGTTTTCCAGTATCTGAACTTGCAGGTGATGCGGTAGTAAATGTCTATATTAATCATGAGAAGAAGTTTGCATTTGTGGAGATGAGAACGGTTGAAGAAGCAAGTAATGCAATGGCATTAGATGGAATTATATTTGAGGCATGTCAATTTCAATTTATCATTACAGTTTTGTTTTTTGTTTGATCTGTTTATAATTGTCATAGGGGAGGGCGTTACTGGTAAAGTACTGTTAAAGAAGAATGTGAGGGTAAAATAAGAAGCATAACTGGTGTAGAACTTAAATGTTATCATGTCTATCGGATTAAAGCCTTTTCTATTTTCAGTATTATCAAATTCATTAAGTTGGTTAACTCTATTGGGTAAGGAACCATACAATTTTATAGAGACTTATCTTAAATGTGTAAAAATAAATTGAGATTTGTACTTGTTGGTTATGATGGGGCTTAGGTTTCAGAATCTTTGGATAATGTTTTATTCTTTCTTTCTGTGTGCTCTGTGCGGTATGAAGGAAATGTTTCTTCGTTGACATGCTCCTTTTGATTTATCAGGGGGTTGCTGTGAGGGTACGAAGGCCAACAGACTACAATCCTACTTTAGCTGCAGCGCTTGGTCCTAGCCAACCAAGTCCTCACCTTAACTTAGCTGCCGTTGGTCTCACACAAGGGTAGGTTGAGTTAGGTTATTTAATTTGAAGACTACTTTAGTTTCATACTCTTTAGAATTACTTTTAAAAAATTTGGTGTTGAGTTGTAATAGTCTTATGTTGTATTAATTTTGTATTTGTTTGGCAGTGCTGTTGGTGGAGCTGAGGGACCTGACCGTATCTTTGTGGGTGGGCTACCTTACTACTTCACTGAAGCTCAGATTAGAGAGTTGCTACAGTCCTTTGGGTATGGGCTTAAATTTCCAGCAATCTTGACGTTCCTCATTTATGATAAATTGTATTTGCAAATTTAACATATTGATCACTGCAGACCTCTCCGTGGTTTTGACCTCGTAAAGGATAAAGACACAGGAAACTCTAAAGGATATGGATTCTGTGTTTATCAGGTACATACTAAAATCCTGGCTTTTGATTTTGATTGTTGTCACATTTTCAATTGTTTTTTTTTTCTACTTAGTGATTGATTTTAGGCCTTCTTCTCTCTTTAATACATATATACTGTTTTATGATTCTTGGAGGTCACTCCTGGAAATCTGGTCAACTAATGTTCTAGAACTTCAGGATCCAACTGTGACAGACATTGCTTGCGGTGCTCTCAACGGCTTAAAAATGGGTGATAAAACTTTAACTGTCCGGCGTGCTACTGCCAGGTTGGTATTCTTTCAAACTAAAGGGCAAGCCTGATCTTTTTTTTTCTTTCAAGCCAATTAGATAATTTGAAACCTTTTTGCAATGATTTTACAGCAACGGGCAGTCTAAAACAGAGCAAGAAAATATCTTGGTACAGGCACAACAGCATATAGCCATGCAGGTATGGAATACATATCATTGGTTCCCCGTTTATGTTTTTGGAGTGCATTGTTGAGTTATGTCTTTCGTTGTAGAAAATGGCCTTGCAGGTTGGTGACTTCAATCTTCTAGGAGCTGGAATGGCAACAATGGCTAGTGGTGAAACTCCCACAAAAGTCCTATGCTTGACTGAGGTTGTATCGTAGTTGAAAATAAAGTTATATAGAATTCATGCATTTTGTTTGTATAGTTAGTTTTGGCACCCTCCATTTAAAAAAAAATTAGGATAGTTTATTATGAGTTAATATTTGATTGTTCCAACTGGCTGATTCATGTATTTTCTCATGATGAAGGCGATTACTGCTGATCAACTAGGTGATGATGAAGAGTATGTCGAAATACTAGAAGACATGAGGGATGAATGCAGCAAATTTGGTATTTTCTTCGTAACCTGTCTACCTGTTCATTTTTATTAAATCTTTTGGTGTGTGCGTGGATGTTTGTATTTTGCTGAGCAGAGACGTTTGATTTTTTTTTCTTTTCAAGTGAATATTTTAGGGATAATTAAATTTGAGTGCCTGGACCTCTGAAAGCACTCAATAAAAATTTCCGAGAATGAATTTGTTTTATTACTTAGCTTATTTTGTTGGCCAAACCTTGACCGTTAAACTACTTACCAGGAAAGAATGAAGTACTGAACATCTACCCGATGTAATTTCTTAAGACTTCCAAAATAAAATATTTAAAATTTTGGCTTCTGCAATTAAAGTTAGGATATGTACTGTACAACCGGACCACGTCTTTTTCCTGCTTTCGTTGCATAGGGGAAACAATCATATTATACAGTGCCGCAAAACAAGTGGAGACTATAAGAGATTTCCGTTGCTTGGCATTTGCTATGGTTATGATTGTAAGTTAACTGAGGAGTTTCTCTTGTTTTGAATGATTAGGAACTCTGGTGAATGTTGTTATTCCTCGTGCGGATCAAAACGGAGAACAGATTCCAGGCGTTGGAAAGGTAAAACTACCGTGCTGCATCTATTCACTGTGCTCTTAATGGTGTTTTTTTTCTCGGGGATTGAACATGTAGCTTCCTTCTCTCCATAATTATGCAACGTTTTCAGGTATTCTTGGAATATACTGACACTGGGGGTTGCGCCAACGCAAAGAATGTACTCGGTGGGAGAAAATTCGGAGGTAACATAGTGCATGCCGTTTACTATCCAGAAGAGAAATACTACAACAGGGACTACAGTGCGTAAGAGTACCAAGCCCCCGGCCTGGGTTTTTATCTTTTTCTTGTGATGTAAATTAGCTGTACGTTTCAAAGCGAACTTTCTGATGTGGGTAGTGGTTGCTCAAGGAACCGAAAATCGACGAGTGCCTTCTCTAGATGTTTTGATGTTTGGCCTGGCTTTTCGGGCAATTTAGGTTGGTTTGTATCAATATGATAGTGTACAAACTAAAGATTAATGGTGGTCTTGTGATTTGCCGAGCAACTCTTTATTTATTTTCGATGTTTGTACAAAAGCATCAAAAACTGATTTCTCATGTTGATTTCCCTCACCATAATAAACTCCACTTTGGCTCCCCCTTATTATTCTTTTTATTTGATTTTTTTTTTCATTCCTGCCAAAAAAATTCAACAAATATATTTACTTGTAGAATTGGTAAATTCTTGCACTGACTCGTTAATCTGACAAGAAACGACATTGAAATTTAGGTTTCAGATCAACTTGTTAACGAGTCGGGTCATTATTGAGAAAAAAATACGTAAATGAATTGCGTCGTTATCATATCATTTGTTAAGAACCCGTTAAGATAACGGGTATGAAATGGACATGTTTGTGGTTGCAAGGTCTAGATATTAGAATGACACGGCCCTTAACGATTCGAGTCGTTATCGGATCACCTATTAAGAATTCTAAAATTGACAGGATACAACTCATTAAGATAGCAGGTTTGACACAATACGATTCACTAATATAACTAGTATGACACGAAAATGATAAACACGAAAAACATCTGTTTGAGAAGTCTAGTTGACTTGATAAGTTCGATAACCGCTTTCAAATGGTGTATTTTCGTAATTTCAGCTTCATTGGAATAAATTGTTATACCCGGAACATGGATGATACAGTACGTGTCACTACATAAATTGTGAGGTACTTGTGTTAAAAAATTAACTACTTAGAAAATAAAACTTGTCTCTACTTATATAATAACACGTTATATATCATTTGTGTTTTGAGTATAATAAAAAATTTCTTCTTATTTAGGCTGTTGATTATGAGCCACGTGTATGTGTCAGAGGCGCGGGGAACAGTCAAAAGAGTAATGAAATAAAATAAAAGGTTGGATTGGATGACTCAGATCACTGTCACTCACAACACATTTTTCAGTACTTTGTTTATACTTGTTCTTCAGTTTTGGATAAGAGCGTTCGTACAACTCAACACGTTTTGACTGTTTCCAAAATACCCTTTCTGTTTTATCTCCATTTTCTAATCATCCGACTGACTAGGATAACAGATTTTGGTAATAACAGCCCGAACCATCGTGCTTTAGCCGTTACATTACATGAATCTAATCTTTAAAATTTGCATAGCAGATGGATTAAACTAAACAAACGTGATCCAACCGTTGCACCATTTTTTTATGCAAATTTTTAGCTGGTTTATGATCTAAAGGATTTGAATGGTTTACTCAAATATTATTGTTACTCGAAATTCACACTTTTTTTTAGGTATGGCAAAATATCGCTATATTACAAACGGACAGCGATCCACTCTTAATCTTATTGTCTTAAGCCCAAAGATCAGGCAATCTGAACCATTCAAATTGAATCTAACGGTCCTCATTAACTTATTCCGTTGGTTTACTTACACAAACCAAGGGCTCAAATTCTCTTTTGCACAAAATAGGGGATCAAATTTACTAGTTGTTAGACATCAGACACTAAAGTTCGAAGAGGGTCCAAATTTGTTACTAACTTTAGTAAAAAGATACTGTCGTGTTGTTTATTACCATAAAGAAATTAATCATCTCTAACTAAAATGTATAAACGGACACGAATACTAATGTGATCTAAAAAACATATATTACACAAGTATTAAACTATAATTTGTTTGTAACGAAAAAAATCTTCTTAGAATGTACGAAGTCAAGGTATGCCCTAGATAAAAATAGATTATGAATCTAATCTCCCTAACTAATAGAAGAGAGAGAGAGTTTTGGATAATATTGCCACGCATACTTTTCCTACTTTCTCTCTCCCTCAGAATATTTACTATATAACCTATATACCCCAACGATAATGCATTAATCTCCATCACTTCCCTTTGCCAGTGTCAACTTCTTAGTACCCTCCTTTGTGTTTGAGAAATTTGAGATCCAAAATCTGTTTTTGAAAATGCTTGCAATATTCAACAAGGAAGTAGTGCAGCCACCGCAGGAGCTCCACAGCCCCACCGCTGCCTCCGCCAATCCCGCCATGAAGCCTCAAGAAATTGCCAAAGACTTCATGTCCTGCCATGATCCAAACAATGCCTTTTCAGTCTGTTTTGGAAACACAGCTTTGCTTGCTTATGTTCCTCCAACCAACCCCTACTCATCTCAAAAACGGTAATGCTTGCGTGCATATACATACAGACATTAAGAACGAACGAACGTCATGAACGTAGAATTTCTGTATACGACATTTGGGGCAATCACGAATCTAAATCCTTGTTTTTTTTTAATTAATTAATTGATTAATTCATTGCAGGGTGTTCTGTTCTTTGAACAACATATACTGCATTTTTCTTGGGGGCCTGAACAACCTCTGCAGCCTGATCAAGCAGTACGGGCTGTCGAAGGGCACCAATGAGGCCATGTTTGTGGTGGAGGCCTATCGGACTCTTCGCGACCGCGGCCCGTACCCAGCTGATCAGGTCCTCAAGGATCTTGATGGAAGCTTTGGATTTGTGATTTATGACACCAAGGCTGGAACCGTCTTTGCTGCACTGGTAAGTGCCAAATGAATCAAATGCAGATAGAAGAGGCTGGGTGTCCTTATCAAATTTGTGCTTAGGGTTCGTGTGTTCTTAGCCTTTCTGGTTGTGGTTTGTTTTTGTGCAGGGTGCTAATGAAGGGGTTAGCATGTTCTGGGGCATTGCAACAGATGGCTCGGTGGTGATTTCTGATAACTTGGGGGTCATGAAACAAAGCTGTGCTAAATCTTTTGCCCCATTTCCAACCGGTATGTAAAACACTATCAACATTAACACGACAAGTTACATGGCTCAAAACTTGCACGAATACAAAAATGGTTGAACTCGAACACGAGAGATTTTTCAGTGTACCGAGGAATATGGTCCTGTACACCAAGTGCTATAATCAAGTGGTTGGATACTTGAAAAAAAAAAATTTAACCACTTGTATTATGATACTTAATGTATTGGGCTACGTTCTTGAAGCACTGATAAATTTCTCCTCAAACACGGCCTATTGTGAAACTTATAATAAAATTGAAATTAACATTATTATTTAGCTTCTAATTTTTTGATGGGTGCAATTTTGGTCGCAGGGTGCATGTTCCACAGTGAGCAAGGATTGATGAGCTTTGAGCATCCAACCAAGAAGATGAAGGCAATGCCTAGAGTTGATAGTGAGGGGGTTATGTGTGGGGCCACCTTCAAGGTTGACGTCCAATCAAGGATTCCCAACATGCCACGTGTCGGTAGTGAAGCTAATTGGGCAGCATGGGGCCAACCAGCCTAGATCAAGGAGTGAAACTTATTTACGTTTAACGGCTAAGAATAATTACTTGGAACTTTTATTTTTATTTAGTTTGATTTCAATTCATGTATATATTCCTATGTAATTTATTTTCCTTTTTAAATGAGCACCTATGTACTATGAATGAAGAACTCTGTGGAGTTGTATCTCCCAAGTTTACATCTAGTGACATTTTAACCAGAAAATGAATATTGTTTTAAGAAAATATTGTATAAATCCTGATAAAATTCACACTAAAGCCGTCATTTTTAACATGGTAACCTTTTCTTAAAAAAAAAAATTATGCTGCTCTGTAGCGAGCCAAAACTTATGGTGTTATTTTACAACCCATTACTATTCACACACTCCTAAACCCGAAATCTCATGGGCGTCAACTGCTTCTGCTGCGCCTTGGGCATTCCCGAGGGCATGAGTATGTGTTGCGGCTAACGCCTGAGCTCGTTGGGCTTATGCTACTTCTGCATCTCCCTGCGCCTAAACCATCAATTTTATGATTTTTTGTTTTTGTTGAAATTTTCTTTTTTCCTTTCCATAACACCAAACTATTATCTTCATGTTCTACAAAATATATTTTCGGTGAAAATTTACTTATAATCCATGTGAAAACACTCGAAAACAAAGATATAAATATGAATCTAATGGTATTTGAATCTAAATAAAGTAAGGTAGGAAGAAAAACAAAATTCAATGAGAAAATACATAAAATAAATAAATAAAATAGAAAATGATATGATCAGTACTTTGCTACTGATTGTCCACAACAAAGGTCGCTATTAAGATAGCGACTACACCTTATACTAGTCGCTAAGATCATACCAATCTCCCTTTCTTACCATAACAACAAATTATCATATTTATGTTCTTTAAAATATATTTTTCCGTGAAATTTTTTATTATTATTCATATTTAAACACTTGTAATCAACGTTTTTAAACCTAAAGTTAAAGATATTTTAATTTAATAGTGGTTACTCAAATAAATTAAAGAAATTGGAATAGGAAAGATCGGTACCACGCTACTGATTCTTGCCTAGTCATACTTAAATCATCTTTCTTGAGGGTTGAACCCCATTTGACAATATTTTGGGCCTCACTACTACAATTTTCACTTTTTTTTTTTGCTTAAATATTCTACTAAATATGCATTTGTTGCTCAATATATCGTAAATTTACTTCCAAATGCCTTACAAAGTTTTCCTTCATGCTCACGAAATATATTTTTTGAAAATAAAAAATTTGAGTGACTCATTGTTTTTAGTTGGTTTGGAAAATTCGTACATAAATCATCGTTCAATCTATTTATTTTCACTTTTGCCTCACTATGAAGTTTTAAAAATTAATGTAAGACTTTCCGTTGGTATTCTTGAGGGTGGAACACGTTTACAACAATGTCACTAAATAATTTTCACTTACTTTTATAGTTTTTGTCTTAAATATTCTACTAAATATATATTTGTTGTTCAATAAATCATAAAACTGCATCCAAATGCCGTATAAAGTTTTCCTTAATGCCCACGGAAAATATTTCGCGAAAATAAAAAATTTACATTTTTCACAAGAAATATGGAACAACACTCACTGTTTTTAGTCAGTTTTAAAAATTCGTACTTAAATAATTATTCAATCTAATATTTTCACATTCGCCTCACTATGAAGTTTTGAAAATCAATGTAAGGCTTCCTTAATGCTAATGGAAAACATTTCGAGAAAATAAAATTTTGCATTTTTCACAAAAAAAAACGTGGGTATTAAGTTAACTACTATATTCTGGGGCTCACTACTATATTTTTCACTTATTTTTTAGTTATCATATTAAATATTCTACTAAATATTGATTATTGCTTAATAAATCGTAAACCACTACCAAATGCCTTATAAATTTTTCCTTAATGCTCATGAAAAATATTTCGCGAGAATAAAAAATTTGAGTTTTTCCCAAAAAACATGGGTTAACACTCACAGTTTTTAGTCAGTTTTAAAATTTCGTACTTAAATCATCGTTCAATCAATTATTTTCACTTGCGCCTCACCATGAAGTATTGAAAATTAATATAAGACTTTCCGATGATATTCCTGAGGGTGGAAACCCAATTTGACATTGTTTTGGGCCTCACTACTACTATATTTTTCACTTATTTTTTTTTAGTTTTCAGCTTAAATATTCTACTAAATACACATTTATTGCTCAATAAACCGTAAAATTGCTTCCAAATGCCTTAAAATGTTTTCCTTAATGCTAATGGACAATATTTCGAGAAAATAAAAATTTTGCATTTTTCACAAAAATGTGGGAACTCATAGTTTTTAGTGAGTTTTCCATTGAAAATGTCTCGATTCCGGTAGTTATATGTTTGTTATTCTTCAATCCAAATCTCAGAACCAAACAGGTGTTAAAAAGAAATGGAGAGACAAAATGGTGTAGTTCATCTGACGTAACAATAGTTTCCAAGCAATTGTATCAGAAATCTGTAATTTCCCTTAAGACTACATACGTTTCATCGCGAGTCACAGCTAGATGCGAAGCACGCTTTCGGTCCTTGTAATCTTAAAACTATACAACTGTTCCTCAACGTAATCAAACCGTCAAATACTTGGACAACCCTTAGGGAAGGAAGAGATTACCGAAGCAAGTCATCGAAAGCCGGAGGAGGGTAAATATCACCAGCAATTGGACTAGAACTTCCGGGTTTCCATTCAGATCAGTTTGACTTGATTAAAGCTCGTTGAAGACACAGACCACAGCATCTGCTCCATGTTTGATAATCCCCACACAAGACGGGAAGCGAAGCCGGTAAAACCTAGGCAGTGATTAGTCGAGATCGACAAAAATGTGCAACAAGTCCGGAAGGTTGATCAGAATAGAACAATAACCAAAAGCATAAGGAGTTATAGTTTAGATGGCACAGCCTATTTTAGCACAATCTCGCAATGTTGATTCGAAAGAGAAAAAACTAACCTCCCTCCAATCTGGCAAAGGGTCATATAACAATTTCCCTCCGAGTTTAGTGGCAATGGGGTTCTGCATGGAAACTACTCAAATAGGTGAAAATATGAAGGCAAACTATTTTAACGGTAATAATCTCAGTGCTATATTGCTGAAAGATGACTGGTTACATTTAGGTTGCGGGGTTTAGACAGCATCGTCTCCATTGTGATTATCATTTACCAAATTACCAAAGATGTTTAAACTGAATGTATAAGGTGCTGGTGAAATTGTTCTCCCTACCAGTTTGAAATTTGTGGAACCAAACGCCTCAACCCTCGGCAAAACCTGTGTGTGGATTTCAAATTCATAAATTAGTTAATATAATAACAAGTGAGATGCTAAACGAAGCAATCGAAAAGGAAAAAAGGCACCAAAGAAGCCTATAAGATATGGTTGGACAGGACAGGATATAACTATGTTAGCATCTAAAATCGTACATTGAAGCAGACTTTGGGACAGCATGAAACGTTATAAACTCTGGGCACGCTTATCAGAAACAAAATTTGAAATCTGATATAAAGCGTTTGAAGACCATTAATCACAATCACCACCTCCTCACGTGAATCATCTTGCGATAAGCAGACTTCGAGAGGGCCGAGTTCCTTACGTCTCATTTGCTAAATTCAAGTGTAGCTGAATGGAGTTTTTACTTGCTCAATTCCAATCACTGCATTAGTCAGTGACTAATAATAATTGCTCCACTCAACCTTTTGTTTCCTTTTGAATTGCTTATAATTGCATCTTTCAACATTTATTTCCTATGAAATTCTTTATAATTGTGGCCACTCAGACTTATTTCTCTTAAGTTCTCTATAATTGTTTACCATAAATAACTAATTACAATATTTTAAGACAATATGACATAGTTTCCAAGTACAACTAGACTTGGTATTTGTTTTACAAAGTATTGTATTTTATAAATAATTATATATATAATATATATCAAATTTCAGGTCCCACAATGAGGCGAAGCATGCCTTAAGGCTTTCGCCTGGGCGGGGCTACCATGAACCGCTTCGCCTGTGCCTTTGCCTCTTAAAACATTGCCCCAGACCCACATAAGTGTTCAGGCCAAATGCTGCATCTCTTTCAGACATCCCGCGCTTCCTCGGCAACAAGCCATCGGCTCCATAATAAACATCACAACTTTCCAAAGATCCGGAATCAAGTGGGTCTGAAGAATTACATAGCTTGGTGGTATCATCTTGAGGACCCATATCATCTGGACCAGACCAAGGCTCTCCGTACATATTGCGCCTTCCCCGCTCTTCGGCTGGAGGGCGGAGTTCTAGCTCTCGGAGCAACAAACCAGCAGCATCTGCACCTCTAGGCCGGGGCATATTCTGTATAGCCAATCAGAAAAAATATTGTCAAACATGACCATTTTTCAGCGTGTAACTTTCAACAAGAGAAAAGAATAAGTTAAAGATTAAGAAGTTCAACGGTCAATAGAAAACCTGAACATGTGGAACTAATGCTGGTTCAACAGCCGTTGCTTCAGGATCAATGCCTGATAACGTTTCGCCAGATGCCTGCCATGGCTCCGGTACCAAAGCAGATGGATTTAACAACCCGGCTTGCTTGTCTAGAACCATTGCCCTAACTTCTTGTGCTTTTGTACCTTCCAGTAGCCTGCACTTTAACCTGTCGAGACACTGCATCAAAACAGATATAATTTTATGAGTCCTTTTTCTAGGTGATTTTTTTTCTTGGTAATCTTTTGCTTGGCAAGTAGAACTGTTAACATCTCTTGCTTGTAATGTCAATTGGCTTTAACAGCAAAAGTCTTTTTTCTTTTTCTTTTAAATTCCAGATGAGCATGTTCAACACTACCAGGCCATTCATATAAGAAAAAATTATGTGTCATGAATTCATTTAAATTCAGCATATTTCACTACTTGCACAAACAAAATATATTACATCGTATGTCTGAAATTTTTTATCAATATTCTAGAGGCGCGCACATGAGTAATTATGAACAAAACATCTCCGAGATTGTGTAATAAACTGTTAATGCATCAAGATTTATAACATTGTAAAATACAGCAAATAATTACACTAAAATGACACCTTTGGTCCTAATTGTCATGAAAAAATTAATATGTACAAGAAAATTTATAAGCATCTTGAAAAACCTGCGTCGTAGCTAAAAACTTACAGGACCAAATCGTTGTCTGTGTTGAGCAGTAGGAAGAGAATGAAAATTTGCATCCAGTACCGCAATGACACTGTTCAGGGAAACTGCAATGAACAAACAAAAAAACACAATGTGCACATCATTTACGAAGAAATTTTGCATGAAACGCATATATAAAAAATTGGAGACCTATAATTTGTTTCCTAATTTTTCAAGAAATACTTTGCTATTCATCAGTCACACGACAATACCACAAAAAAGAATCCAAAGTTATTACCAATGCCATCCTCTGCAGCACTCCGCGTACAGCCAACAACATCCCACCAATCAACCCCAACGAAAAGACTCCACCAAAACCTGCCATCATGACCATCACTCTATCGAAACTTAAACATCCATAAAAAATCATTTCAGGGCTTCAAGGTTTATCAAGGTGGAAGAAGTACCTTTCGGCAATGGCCCGTTCCGAGGTTGACGAGTTTGCCTTCACTTGGCTGCTTGGAACAGTAGGAGGAAGAACACGTATTATTTTAAAACTGTACGGTCCTTAACACTATCATACCAAACAGAAGCTGAGCAGCAGCTTGTCGATGAAAAGGCAGGGGCAGCAATTGCAGCTCCAACGTTAATCTTGTAGTTATCAACAGGTGCAAAGTTCGAACCAGAGAAGATGTGAACCCCACCCCGGAGGAAAGCAACAGCAATCTCACCACCATGAGCAGAATAGACTATTTGAGCGAGTGTTCTAACATCACTTGACAGGTCAAAAGGATCAAAACTGACTCGTTTTACTTTCTCTATGCCAGAATCAGGAGTCTTCCTTGCATCTGTGGTTGCTGTTGTCGCTGCTGCTTGGTGACTTTTAAAATCATTAGTTGGTTGTATGCTTGTGTCCACTTTGGATAGCCAAACAGTTTGCATTGGTGCCTGCCCACCAAAACTGGAAGTAGGATTTCCAAATATTTGGTGAAGAACAACAGGCTGAAGTGATGATTCCCAGCGTTGCACTCTCCATCCTGTAATTGATGGACCCTCATCTGGATCACAAGGAGACATGTATTGTCCTGCACTCATGATTCAATTCATGCAACTACTATAGTTCAGACGTATTTCTATGAAAACTTAGTTTCTTATCAGGAAAAAAAAAAAGGGTTGTCATTACCTAGCAGGCCAGATAGAATAAAACTCCGATATTACACCAGAATCAAAGGTAAGGTAAAGATAAACAAAAAAGGTCGTACCCAGTGCACAAGGCTCCCGCTTTACGCAGGGTCTGGGAGAGGTGAATGTCGGCTAGCCTTACCCCCATTTATGAAGAGGCTGCTCCCAAATAAACAAATAAACAAATAAACAAATATTGTACGGAAACGAGAAATGATGACACACTTGTTCAGAAACGATTTAGACTCTAACAAACCAACTTTCAGAGATTTTTTTTTTGGGAAAATGTACATCTGGATTAGAAAAGACAAACAAATAAACAAATAAATAAATGCATGCTTCGTTACACCACCAACTTGCAATTGAATTCCCAAACGCATAACAGAAGAGGAAAGAAAAGGTTTTCAAGGAAGAGGACAATTTGTACCCTCAACTATGACAACAGCTATGACAGAACCACCACGGGTTGGATCGAAGGCAACCGCAGTAACTCCAAATCCCCATGTAGTGGTGGTTGCAGATTGAGATGCAGCCTCGGGACTCACATATGCCGAAAAATTAGAAACTAGAGAGCAGTGAAGTGGTACAGTATCACTGAAATCTTGATCCGTCTGCTTTCGCGGTTGTCAAAATTTGAATGGAAGTATCACGAGCTGACGTGATGATACTGTACCATCTAATAATTTCTTGGGAGCAGGAGGGGGGTGGTGTGGAAACTCAATGAGTTTAACGCGCTTTCCAAGGCTGGAAACTCAATGAGTTTGGGGTGATTGAGATACACGTGTGTCCACATGCCTGAAAAATCTGGCATTCTTACTAATGCAAAGCAGTCTTCTATCTCCAGGATATCCAAACTTTTTGGTAAATCTGTGATCTCGACAAGGTTTCTGCAACCAATCAAGAATAGTGCATGAAGCATGGAGAGGCCACTGAGGCTTGGAAGGCTCCGAAAATTATTCTTATCTAGACGTAAGTTCTGTAAACAAGGTAGACTACTCCCAATATCATTAGGCACTTCCTCTAAATTGTTGTCCACCAAAATTAAGTCTCTTAAAGAGCGTAAGCCTCGTAAGGAAGGTAGCTGCAAAGGACACTTCAAGTAACTCAAAGATAAGCACTCAAGCTTCTCCAATCGTACGATGGAAGGTGGTACTTTTTTTATGGCCGTCCCATCAACAAAAAGAGTGACCAATGATGCCATTTTTCCCAAGTGCTTAGACAAGCTTCGGAATCTTGAACAACCATCGAGAACAAGAGTTTTGACAGATTTCGACTTGTAGAAACTCCTTGGGAGAGCCTTAAGCGTTTTACAGTCTTTCAAATTCACCAACACAAGACTCTTGAGATCTCCGATGGACTTGTGAACTTCAGCCAACCTCTTACAGTCTTTGAGTATCAATTTCTCAAGATTTGGGAGTTTCGAAAAGTCTGGAGATTGTGTTAGATCGTGGGAGTGGCTGAGATTCAGAATCTTCAACTTATTAAGCAACTGTTAGGCAAAACCATATTCAAATACAAATTTAAAATCCAAAAAGAAGATAAAAATAATTCCTAATTTGGTTCAGGTTACGCATTGTACTTACCCCAGAATACTCACAAAGAACTTGTTTGAGGCTGCTGTACCGCATGTCGATAGCGACTATGTTTGGTTGACACAGTTCTATTGGTATGAACTCCAATGGGAATCCATGCCAGCAAAGCCATCTTAATTTTTTGGAAAGACATTGGTATCCCCCAGCGAGCCGAACGTAGTTTAGTTGGAGCAATCTCAGTCTCTTCATATTTCTAAACGCCCCAGTACTGAAACTAGTCTCTTCAAGACTTGGCAAATTCAAAGCCAAACCGTCAATTTTTTCAGTTCCCTGCTATCAGAAAAAATAGACTCCAAATAAGAAAAGGCTTTGCATGAAAAAAATTTAGATTACTTACATATGCTTACACGTTTAACATAAAGTTTGATTGGGAAGGTACTTACAGATTTGTCTATCAATACATCATTTACATCTTCAGGAAGCCACAATCTACTCCGTTCTCCAGGGAAATCGGGATTTTCTGCATGCACGATATCTCTGCCCATATCCCGAAGCAAATCATGCATCATAATCTTGTTTTCTCTATTAATAGTTACAAGGCACCGGTCAAGGAGGACCTCGATTCCTGTTGTTGCATAAAAGCCACAACCATCCAAGATTTGCATGACATCGTTCTTGTCCATTCCAATAAAAAAACAAGCTATATCGAGGAATATCCGCCTCTTGTAATTATCATTTAGCCCGTCGTAACTTATTTTCAGTTGTGCCTGAATTTCTCCACGAGGAATCATTTTCAATTCATCCAATATACTTCTCCATTCATCTACACTTCGTTTGAAAAGAGTAGATCCTAAAACTTCAAGAGCCAGCGGCAATCCTCCACAGTAATTGACAACTTCTCTTGCGAGCACAAGATATTGACTAGGACAACAACTACTTCTGAACGCATGCCAACTTAGGAGCTCAAGAGCTTCTTCCCAGTCCATTCCTTTCGCCCGATATATCTCATCAACTGCAAATTCTTTTAGCACACGTTCGTTTCTAGTTGTGATGATGATTCTGCTCCCCGGGCCAAAGGAGTGGCAATTTCCAGCTAATTCACGTAGCTGCTTCACATCGTCTACATCATCAATTATGACAAGTACCTTTAAGTGTTGAAATCTTTCCCCTACCAAGGCGGTCCCTGCAGCAACACTGCTTACCTTTGTCTTGGTTTGCAAGATATCAGAAAGAAGTTGTTTTTGCAATTTTTCTAGTTTCTTTTCCCGCACTTTTTCAAGGAAACATTTACCTTCAAACCTTTCACAAAATTCGTTATAAATGGCTTTAGCAATCGTTGTTTTACCTATTCCACCCATGCCCAAAATTCCAATCATGCGAACATCTTCCGAATCTTCGATGTGTAAATAATTACTGATATCTTGCACTCGAGAATCTAGTCCGACTTGGTAGGGCGCTACGTCTAAGTATGTGTTGTTTAGCTTCCTAGTGACTTCCTCAGTAATCATCCTGATAAACTTTGCTTCATGCCTGGCATTAGTCAAGTTGAGAAGCAAAACGAAGATTGTTATACAACCACAAGACGAAATTGAACTAATACACAAAATTACTTATCATGACTACAGATTTTAGTTAAGACAATTTTCTTTGAGATGTTGTGTTTAAACTTAGCAAACATCAATTAAATTTAAATTTAAAAAAGAAACACAAACAAACAAAAACAGCCTCCCTTCCCTACGCAGCCATTCGCCGGCGGCTTCCCTGCAGTGATTAGTGTAGCCTCAACAGTTTAAGCTTTATTGTATGATTTTATTAATAGAGGACTAAGGAAAATAATACATGATATTGACAAGCAAAAGTACGTTAAGGCCTTAATTCATAAAAGAAGGAACTAGTAAGTACCCGTCCAAAGTGTTTCTGAGATCCCAGCCAGACAAATTCGAAGCTTCAGTAAGAGCAGTTCTCCACCTCTCTTCCTTCCACCTCTCTACCTTATTTTCATCTATAAGTTCCAGAAACAATTTTCCAAAACTGTCAGTCTGTTTCCTGACATGCGAAGGATCAACGTCATAGAATATCGGCAAAACCAATTGCCCCAGCGTTTTTCTACACTCCATGATCTTAACCAGCTCCTCGAGGCACCAGCCGGAGTTCGCATACTGTCTAGAGAAGACGATGATAGAGATCTTAGAACCTTGGATTGCTCGTACAAATTTGGTTTTTAAATCTTCTCCCTTTTTTAGTTCTTCGTCGTCAATAAAAGCGTTGATTCCGGCCCTTGTCGATGCTTCATAAAGGTGGCCCGTGAAGTTTTTACGTGTGTCTTCGCCTCTGAAGCTTATGAACACATCGTAAAGCCAACCTTTTGAGGAAGGGGACGAGGACATTTGCTCGAAAGACAAGGCCGAGGGAGCAAAAGAGGAAGATGAGGACATCAAAGACGACCGGAATTGCGATGGGCGAAGTGGTAGGATACGAACACCAGTACCATGATTAACAGCTCTTCTTATAATTAATAAACCCCGCCACAAATATAAGCGGTGCAGTTGACTGAAGAGGGCTGATTCGGTATGGGATCCCAAATTCCAAACGGAAAAATTTCGGGACGAGATTCTGAAACCCACCGAACCGAAATTTCGGGATTTCCGAAAAATTTTCGGGATTTCGGTACAGTTTGGTATTTCCCAAATCTCCTACGCGGATTGTCGATTTGAAACCTCTGATTGTTGTATCGGCTCTCCGTGGTTGGCTGCAAGTCCCGATTTCACAGGGAGACTTCGAGGCGGAGGCGAAGGAGCTAGGGTCTGCTAGCTTCGAGGAGGAAAAAAACGAGTTAGAGAAGAACCATATGATTAAAAACTCCAAATTTCAAACTAAATGTAACACGAAATTGAAAACCCCCAGATCCAAAACCCCATAATTCAAATGCCCAAATTAAAAACGAATTGAAGCCAGACTTTACCACATCAAGATTACCTGATGAAGACAAGAAGGTTACCTTAATGAAGAGAGAAGTGGAAGGAAGCAGAGGTGGCTGTATTGATCATCGAATGCAGAGGAAGTTGTCAAATGCAAAAAGAAAAATGGAGGACTGGATGTAGTGTGAAGGTAAGGGGGAGAGAGCGAAAGAGTGGAGGTCGAGAGAGAGAGAGAGTTAAGGAGTGAAGGTTGGGTTTGGGCGGAGTAAAGAACGCATCAATCATCGATATCTGTAAGCAATGACACATGCCTTGTCACAAAAAATTAATTAAAAAACACAACCAAAATATCTGGAACATGAAAGACAAAAAGAATAGAAAAGAAAAGGCAGAGAAACAAATGCTGAGATTGCACGAAAGAGAGAGGGCGCCTATCCATCACAAAAAAATAATTAAAAAATACTCATCACACACAACAATGCAAACCTTTAGCATATTATTATATTTCGTAGTCTGTCGTTTTGAATGGATAATGGCAAATTGCAATGATTCATAGTTGATACTTACCCTTTCTCTCTAACCAATTCTTCATCATTTTTTGTCCTTTTGTTTGTCCAACAACCCATTACTTTATTCCTTTCACCGTACAAAGCAGACAATACGAACCGAATCCGAACCTGATGACAAACGCGAAGCCCGGAAGGACAAAACATACTTTTTACTGTAGCTACTGTCCGTCCAAACCGAGTTAGGATTCTCTTCTTTCCTTTTTTCATCCTCTTCCCTTACATTCTTTATTTTTTTTTTTTTTTTGTAAAAAATTAATATAAGAGATTAACGTGTTGTTAGGGAAAGGAAAAAAAGATGGAAGAGAGTCTTAGGTGCAGTTTGAGATTGAAGTGATTAAAAAAAAAAGTTGGGATGAAAAAAGGTTGATAGGGGTTTTGAATTTTGGTAAACATTTCAAAACAGTTTTATTTTAAAGATTCACATGAAAAAAAAGTTAAAAAGTGGAAGCTGCATTTTGCAGCTTAAAGAAGCCTCTTATTATACAGTACCAAGTTAATGAATTTTTTCAATTTGCCAATACTGCCCCCTCCTTTCTCCTTTCTCCTTCTCCTGATTCCTACACTCTGCACTCTCTCTCTTTCTCTCTCGCAAAACACTCCGCACGCCCCTCTTCCCACCTCTTCCTCCTCCTCCTCCTCCTTTCTCTCCGTCGGTCTCAGCGCCACACCGCCGTCGCCTTCCAGGTACCAGGTACTCGATTTGCTTTCAATTTTTGTTGTAATTAATTAATTTAATTTTTAGGTTGGGGTTTGGCTGCTCTCTGATGATGAACCCATTTTTTGGGGTTTTCTGAAACAAGGTTTTGTGTGGCAACCAACGAACGAGCTCGATCTCATTGATTAGGTAAACATAACTGTCAAGCTACTGCCATTTTCACCGATGCTCATATCGAGCAGAAGAAAGTGTCCAATGCCATTTGGCTTTTGATCTCTCTGCTCAGTACGACGCCATTCCCACTCCAGTCAAGTTGATTCGCTGAAATGTCTCAGGTATGATTTTTCACCCAGGCCTTGAAAAGTTTCTTTTCAATTCTTCCAAACTTTGAATATTTTTTTTCCTGCGTTGTATGGTTCGAAAATGAACTTGTGTGGTTGTTGATTGAAATGGGAATCACAATTTATCTTTGTTTTGGGACTCTCTGCATTTCCAGTTCCGCTTTCCGCATTTGTGGGTACTATGCATAGTTGGCCTCCGAGTTGTTTGATTAAATGCCTCAAAGAAGTATATGGGAAATTGGGAATCATATTGGACTACTGCAACCTGCAAAGGTTCTAATAAAAGGACCTTCAAGTTAGGTCAGGTGACGCACTCAACTGCTTCAGTGATTGGTAATACTTTCTTCTTGTGTGTGCTGCCCATGTTATTCATTTTGGTTTGTATATTGCATTATGTTGAATAAATAAGCAATACATAAGCAACTGGTTGTACTTAAGGACAAGAAAAGCATTTATCAGTTGAGAAGATGATGATGAATTGCTGGACAACAATTCAATTGATGTTAATTTATGATTTCCTTGTAGCTTTTATTTAGCATGAGTTTGACTATGACTGCAAACTATATTTATAATTGAATGGCCTTTGCCTGAAACAGTTAGCAGACTCACTGATGAAGTGAAGACTTGGAAACTGAGACGCATAGAATAAGTGAGACAAATTCAGGAACTCCTCATCCAGCTGAATATGTCAGTGCAAGGAGTCCAGCTGTTTCTGGTAGTAGGAGCTGAAAAGGTTCATAATGCAGTAGGAAGTCTGGAAGTGTTCCGTTGATATGCAGTGTTTTAAATATAGTTATGCCAGAACGGATTGCGCCTTATATGCAATGAAATGTGTTCTGAAAATTGTTGGTGGTGTTGGTGTAAACCATTTTTATTTATTTTTAAACAGATGTTGCACTTTTGAGTAAATAGGGGACAGTCATCGAGCAAATTCCACTTGTATTCTGTATATGCAGATGTAATGAAAATTTTTGTGAAAATCAGTTATCGTTGTAAAGATTTTGTGTTTCGGATTTTGAATAATCTAGTATTGTAATGAAGTAGTTTATCATACTAATTAATATTTAAGATAAAGTTTATAAATATTTTACTTTTACAAATAAAGTATTGTTGTAAACATTCCTAGTTTAAGTATGATTGTGTAAATCCTAGATAAGATTTGATTCTAGTTATCCTTTCCTATTACAACTTGTATTACTTAGAGAAGAAGGAATATCTTCTCTCCCTTTACTACTATAAATAAAGGCACAATGTAGGAGGGATAACAACACACACATTCCCCTACAATTCTACAAACACACATCTCTCTCCTCTCTCTCTCTGCCGCCGGCCCTAGTCCCTCTGTCAGATAAAATAGACCACAACACGTTATCAGCACGCTCTTCACGCTGTGCTTAGAAGAATTTAAAGAGAATTTATTCGTCTACAATCAGGGGAGTATTACGTTTCAATTATTTTTAATTGATTAAATCTTGATTTTATTGAATTCATATATTGTTATTGATTCAATTTATTTTTCTTCTTATGTTGAACGTGATACAAGCTTGAAGATGAAAGCCGAAATTGAAGAAATAATTTTTTCTGCATCAAACCAATTCATCCATATCATCACGCAATCAGGTTCTTTCCAAACAACGGCTTTTAACTCGATATTTTGCAAGCCCTGATAGCATGAACATTCACCATGATGCATGACCCAACTTTACGTTTAACGTATTTTAGATTCTACATAAATTGTGTATGCTTCATCATCAAAATTGCTACAATTATGTGAATTTGATATTTGTCATGAATTGAATCCTACATATGTACATGCATTGAAACTATTATTTGCATATGCATCAACGTAAATATGTGATTCATTAAAATTATACATGCATATAATATAATTGAATACAAAAAAAAAAAAAAAAAAAAAACGAAAATTTTTTTTTTTAGGGCTGCACACAGCAGCCCATTCCCCTCTTCTCACCCCGTGGGCCTGTAATCCCACCCGAGGGTTCTTGGCCTATATTTTTAGGCCCCGAGATTTTATTATTTAATTTTTTTTTTAAATAATATGGGTTTTTATATTTTCACCCACATTTTAATTTGGTCCCGAAGACCAAAAATAAATTAATTCACTTATCATTATACAATATTTCTGCATATATTCTTTGCATATTTGTTTGCATATATATATTTGTGTTTGCCTGCAGGAATATATGAACCTGAAGTTCATAATTACTTTGAAACCCGAAGTTTCTTATACACATGCCTTGTTTGAAAACCCGAAGTTTTCACTTAAATATATCACCCATGAAAACCCGAAGTTTTTCATGCAAAATTAAACCAATACATGTCTATTAGAACCTGTATGTTCTACTCCTATGTGAATGGATTGATTTTTCTCCATTACACTAACCACATCTTGTCCATCTATTTTGTGATAGGAACATGTCGAACTTGAACAAACTCGACTTCACCGCTTTGGAGGTTTCTGGAAGGAACTACCTCAAGTGGGTTCAAGATGTGAAGCTCCACCTCACTGCAAAGAACTTACGTCCTGCTATTGAAGAAGCAACAGATAAACCTGTTGGCGAGGCTGAAAAAGCCACTGCTATGATCTTCATCCGAAGACATATCCATGACGCTCTACAAACTGAGTACCTTGCTGAGGAGGATCCACGTGCATTATGGGTCGCTTTGGCTGATCGTTTCGATCACCAAAAGGACATATTCTTGCCTGAAGCAAGACACGACTGGCAACACTTGCGCTTCCAAGACTTTAAGTCTGTGAATGAATATAATTCTGAAGTTTGTCGAATCCGATCACTTCTCAAGTTTTGCAATGAAACTTTGACTGAAGAGGATCTCCTGGAGAAGACCTACTCGACCTTCTCTGCTTCTAATATTGTCCTGCAGCAACAATATAGAGCTCAGAAGTTCACTAAGTTCTCGGATTTGATCTCTGTTTTACTTCTTGCTGAAAAGCAGAACCAGCTGTTGATGAAGAATCATCAAGCTCGACCTACTGGGGCTACTGCTGTGCCTGAAGCACATTATAGCACTAATCAGCACCCAAAACGCCAAAAGAGACGTGGTAAGGGCGGCCAGAAGCCATCCCACCAAGGTCAACAGAGCCAAGGCCCATCCAAGGGAGGAAACAAAGCCCAGAAGCGCCCAAACCTCGCTCCCAAGGCCCCGAACTTCAAGAATAAGGGCAAAGCACCTGCCACAATGAATGACGATATGTGCTATCTGAAGGAATTATTTTGTAAAACATGTTCATTTGAGCAACATCATATAGCATGCAATTAACAATTAAAGGCGGAATCATGCTTACATGCACTCAAAACAAAAACATTTTACCCATGAAATTCAAAGCCTAGTAGATTGGTGAACCAATAATCAACTCAAAAATAAGTGAGTTGAAATTAATACCTTTGTAGATTCCTCTTTGCATAAGCAAAGGCTAATCACCCAAAGAGATAGGGGCCTTCATTCCTTGCTTCTTAGATCCATGGATTTGTATGGAAGAATAGGTTCTCCAAGTTCCCAAAATTGAGAACCTCTAAGTCTCTACACCAAGGAGAGATTGGATGATGAAATGAGTTGACCTTGGAGTAGTAGGATTGCTAGATGTACCCTCCAAGGTGTTGGCCTCTTTTAGAGAGAAATGGAGAGACAATTCTCACCCATTTTTCCCTAAAATAAACCCATTTTCACTTAATGAATATTTAGTTATAAAGTCATTTATATAGTCACTTCTTTAAGTGACCTAAATAACCAAACAACCCTAATTCATCACACTATGGCCGGCCATTTAGGGGATTTTGGGCTTTTGGGCTTTAATGAATCTTCATTCATTAAATTGTCATACAACTTAAGTTAATGGGCTTGACGTTCGAAGCCCATTGGGCCTTAAGGTCCAAAACTATCCCGAAGTCTTTAACGAACTTATTCGTTTGATTAATTAACATATTAATTAATCCTTGCCATAAATAAATGATTAAACCATTTAATCATTCTTACTCATTTCCGTTTTAATCTCCAATCTCCACCTTTCACGGTGTGCGATCCATTAGGTTCCTTTTAGCGAGGTAGTGGGCGATTAAAAACCATTTTACATCGATTGTGAATTGAAACTATTTTCAATTCTCCTTTAGTGATTACACACGTTTAGGGCTTCCACAAACCATGAGTGACACCTAGCCGTATGTCATGGTTACCCAAGCTAATCAGAAGAGGTGGAGAACCTATTCAGTCTGGGATTACAAATGCAATACGGTCCTTCTCTAATCTAATACTCTTGACCACATTGTTTGGTTTGATAGTTTATTTTCTCATGTCTACTATCCAATGTGTGTCTTGTGCTTATATGATTACCTTGAATGTGATTAGGAACGCATTCCCAAATCTCATTCATACTCTGGCCAGAGATTCAAATCATATCAGAGAGTATTCTCCTTCAAACGGTTTGAAGGTTAGAGATCCCTTGTTGCGCATTCACTTGTCTCCATAGCTAAGCGGCTTGACCCCAACGATGCCGTGGACACCCTCCTGGTGGGATGACTTTGACATAATCAAAGATCAAGGTCTTAACCACAAGACAACTATGATGATGCCTCAGGTCAAAGGACTACTTTGCATTATCCCAACCATGAGTTCTCATGTGACATGGAATATGAAGAACTCTTCGTTGATCGCGTTCAGTGAACTCATTCTCTATTGAGCACCTACCGTACTTGTCTTGATGTCACACACACCAATGACTAGAGACTAATCACTCTCCCTGAGAGAAGACATAGTACGTACCGATCTTGACGGACTGTCAATGCCCAATTGGCAATCCTATGATCAGGAACGTTTAGGATGTGTCTACGAAAGAATGGTCTCAAGAATCTAACTTCATTAGATTACATTCTCCCAATCACATATTCCTTGGACTTTATTGTTTAAGCATATAACATTTATATGAGACGGCTCAAACAATAATGTATGCCCTTTATATGTTAAACTGGATTAGTTTAACATGTGAAATGTCCGTAAAGTATCATCACATGATTGGCTTTAGGGCACATTTCCAACAATCTCCCACTTGCACTAGAGCCAATCAGCTTGATCATCAATGATGATATCTCTTCTGTAGTCATTTCATAAATGGCTGAATAGTAGGCCTAGACAGTGGATATCTATATGTGTTATCCATAGAAGCAACCTTGAGAATACCGACGTCACCATTATACATGATTCTCAATCATGTGGTTCAGTCTCTCATTTGTGTTCGGATCTTGATGAGACCTTGATTCCCAGGCTTGAGCTATCGCCCCATTAGTGTCATACACTTTCTGGTTGGAACCGAATAGAGAGTTCATAAATGAACTTTCCCATCCAAACAACATTGTTGTAAACTTCTATATGGCAATATATCTTGCATTCATAATGGAACACACTAAAGTCATTACTTTAATGTTTCCATCCAAATATCTCTTTAGTCATAATAAAGAGATATTCGTTTATCTCTTCATTCATAATGAAGAAACATCCAATGATGGATTAGATTCATAATCTAATACATTTACGCTTCCATTACGTTACTTTGATTCTTCCTCGATCTTTGAGGAATTTATCCTTTAGTATTTCTTAAATACTTAAGGACTCACTTGACAGTTGCCATGGTTCTGATCCTGGGCTTGCACTGATATCATCTTATACCGTTCTAGGTACAACTCATATCAATGTTTTTCATACAATATGAAATACATAAATCACCTTTGTGCATATGCATAAAGGATTTTATTTACGCATTATTTCTTTGGGAGTCAAAGGGGTACATTCCCTTTGAGAAGGGCAACTTGCTAGTCTCACTAGAATCGTCCTTTCTTATTGAAGTTTATCATCATATGAGAAACTTCCTAGCATCCATTGTCTATTATTAGGCATTGATATAATCCAATTATATCATGAAATATATCATTATAGATTTCCATCCCATGTATATAGACTATATCTCCCATATACATTCTATCGTTTATAGAATGCTTAAAGTCATAA